ATTTGAACAAAAAAAAAAAAAAAAACCTAATTTGGTGAGGGAAAAAAAAGAAAAAAGAAAAAATACGCATCATTTTCATATATATATTTTTTCTTTTTGGGGGGTAGAAATAATTTTTTAAAATTTGAAAATATCCTTTTGGTATTTATTTCGTCAAACTAGTCTTTAGTTTTTTCAAAAAAATATGAACAAATGGATTTTGAAAATGGAACCAAACAAATATATAAAAATTTAAAAAAAGAAAAAAAGAAAAAAAAAATAGTGAAGGGGGATCAACCCACGTATACCTATGGTGTAGAGAAGAAACAAAAACTAAGTTCCACCTACAAAACTCATATTAGGGATTTTGGTTTCTTGATAGTGATTTTGCTTGGGTTCAATCTTGCAATCTTGGAGTTATATTTGTGAGACAAAATGCATTTTGAGACTATTGTTGAGTACGGAGATTTAAAATTTGTGCTTAGGATGTCGTTAATCTTATTGAAACACCCTAAAAATATGGAAACTCGGACTACTCATTCCACATCCCAATCACATACATTATTCAATGGACAAGCGGAAGCGTAAATAAAATCCCATACATTTGATAATGATAATGTTTTACAATATTACCAAAACCATAACACAAGATGATACATTCACTGATTCTAAAACCTGAATCTATAGCACGTGTTCGATGAAAGCTAATATCTAAACTATTACAGTTTCATGCCTTTTTGGCTGCAAGTTTCCAAGGTTATACTTGGGTACACCAAAAGTGGGTCTTAAGCCTAATACACATTAGCCCAAAGCTTACACAAAATAAAACACACACACACACAAAAAAAAAACAAACAAACAAACAAACAAGCGTTTAGCTCTAACTTCCTCCCATCAGCACCTGAAATGTTTTTCGACGTAGGGTGAGCCAAATACCAGTAGAGACAAGTTTAATGACATGTATGATGTTTAACAAAGCCATATGGTGAATGCATATGAAATGCCGTTACAAATCATGCGTTTTCCTCTTTTTTAAAACAATGCAATGCCAGAGTTGAAATCACAATTTATATCTTTCCTTTGAGAAAGAAACACAGGCAGTAAATACACACTGGTAATCTCTAGGTACATGTCTGTAAGTAAGCTATAAAAGCACTACCAAAGCCACTTTACCGGCAACTAACCAGAAAGAAGGCATTTTAACCACGAGGATTTCTATACTTTCACCACAGACACACATGCCAACTTAATAAACCACAACCACACCCCCTAACCAAATTCAGTATGATATTCATCCATTTTTCTCAAAACAATACTTTTCAAATGTGTAAGTATGAAACAATTGATTAAATGGAATGCATGAGTGAATTGGTTTTAGTTAATCTAACTCTCATGCAATTTCTATAAGAAGTCAATGCTATTAACCGATAGCCAGAACAGTTATCTCTATTCAATATATTCCAATAATGGACAATATATATATATATATATATAAAGAGCATTACTAAAGATTTCAAACAACATCAACACAAAGTATCTTGCCTCAACATCTCCCAAAATCTCATTTATTTCCATAAAATGCAAATTCATGAGTTCACAATAAATTCACAGCACAATTTACTTCTTAACCTTGTGCAACTCCTAGGGTTTTGATAAATAAAATTGAGGTTTCTCATTTTTAAGCCCATGTCTTCAAGTTTCCAATACCCACCATCATCATCAACTAAATAAAGATTTAGGAACAACTTTGAGAAAACACTCTCTTTTATGCATTAAAATACATATAAATCAAACCCTAATCTCACAAAGTGTTAAATTTACAAGATAACACATAACAAAGCTAAATAACATGCAAATCATTAAAGAAATCCCTACCTCAAAGCAAGAGGGAGAAAAGAGTAACACCCAAAAAATCAACGGCAACAGAAACTTGAAATTTTCATATTAAAACGACGCACTTCACGCACCCTACCTTTTCAACTCAAGCACTGGGGGTAGGAAATGGATAGAATTAGATGAAAACCAAGGTTTTACAGCTTAGTGACTCAAAAATGGAGCAAAGAGATGTAAGAGGAAGATAGGAATCAAAAAGTAGATATTTCTAGCTTTTGGGTTCTATTTATAGACAGATGCATCGTGGCCACAAAGAACACACCGCGGGCGTGAAACTCATAATTGTGGGCGCGATCCCAAAGTCGCGGCCTACCCTTGCGGCCCCTCGTAGGCCATGTAATTTTTACCATGTATGTAACGCCGCGAAATAATCCAACATAAATCTAATACATCAACCCACGTCCACTAAACAATAATGACAATATTCCAATCATTACATCATCAACCAACAAGATTTATACAAAAGTTCCACATGCGAATTATACTCTATAGCATGTAGAGCATCATGTTCCAAAAAAAATAAAATGCCCTCGTGGGCTTACAATTTCCAAGGCTTAAGCCCGGTTACACAAAAATGGCCTCTTGGACCCATACATGAATAGCCTTTGGCTAGTAATTAAATCATAACAAAACAAAGTTATTACTCTTCACAACATCTCCACGCCCTCAACTTGACAGGATCACTACATCTTTTCCTGCACCAAAATCCCATAGGGGTGAGCACAAAGCCCAGTAGAGAATCCTTACAAAGTATATACAGTTATGCACAATTTTCAATGTTAAATGCAAATGCCATGCAATGCTATTTTTAAGAGAATTTCATCACATGCTCTTCTTGAAAGTCATCATGTTCAATAACAATTGAAATCTCAACAATTTCCGAAACTTCCAATTTTAATCAATAGGGACGGCAAATATGACTCAGGTAATCCCTAGGTTAGTGTCTGCAAGTAGGCTCAACAAGCATTACCAATAACCCCACTTTACCGGTTGCTAATCGGAATGGAAGTGGTACCTCCTCCGCATGTGTTTTCGGTCTTTCACCCTGGACATTCAGGCCAACTTATCAATTCATCTACACCTCCTAACTAGACTTACCTACGTATTTACCCCATAAACATTTCAATAGTTCTCATTTAAATATTCTTTTCTCAATGTAAGCGTTTCAAAACTCAATTCAAGATGCATAATAATCATAATAAATTGAATGAGTTTATAATGCAATAATTAATGTCTCATAACATTTCTCCATTTCTTTTCCTCCCTCCAATGTCATTTCACAAAATAACCATATGCCATCAACACATAGCAACAATTTCTCATCATGCACCGTTCTTAGCATTTTAGTCTCTTCAAGACTTTATGTAATTTGTCGAACGTCAATTTCCAAGATTACAATTCTCATAATCTATAATACTCAACAACTTGTCATCTCACAACTATACACGCTCATGCATTCAACAATAACTTTAAAATAAATTCTCAATCCTCATACATCAAAAGATTGCCATTTTTGCAAAACATAATATGAAATCTACACTCATTCATTCATTTAACACAAGAAAATAAGGAAAACTCATAGGTTTTTCCCACATATTCCAAAATCCCCAAATTTCTAGGGTTCTTCATCAAAACCAAAACATCTCCCCATTTTCCTTGGTGAAATCTCTTCAAAATCATCTTTCTCAAATTATTGAAAATGAAATCCTCAAGGATCAAAAGGTTGAGATTTAAAACCCACTTTTAAAATCTCTACATTTTTTGGCCATAAAATCAAGAGAGAAAAAATAACTTCAAGAAAACCCTTAAAACACATCATCATTGCAAAACATATATATATAACTCAAAAAAATCCCTAGCTCAAGGTTTGATGAGGAAAAGCAAACGAAATCCCAGAAATCAAGGATGCCCAAACTCAATCTCCATCGTGCACAATGTAGCTCTTAAGGAGCTCTTCCACTTTGATGAAAGGATTTGGGTTGGGATGCACTAGATCCAAAGAAATCAAGAACCCTAGGTGTTTTGGTGTATGAAATGTAGAGAGAAGGGAGAGGAGATGATTTTTAGAGAGAGAGAAATGAGCCAAAAGTGATACAAACACAGCCCTAAAAGAGAAAAAAAAGCAGAGATTCGGACTGCCCGCACCCCGCACGTGCGGCACGTGCCCCCGCACGTATGGAGCCTCCTTCCCGCACGTGCAGCCTTCATCCCCGCACGTGCGGCCATCCCCTCCCGCACCTTGCCCGCACCTACATATATTGCAGTGTGCTGCCCCAAACATCCCCTGAATTCTGCATGTGCGGCCCAAGGCCCCTGCACGTGCGGCTCAGCCATCCAGCCTAGAAAATTTTCCAGCTCAAAATTCAAGCCCTCTGGATTCAACTTCGCACCTTCCGGAATAGACAAAAGCAGAACTTTGGAAAAACTCACCAACGCAACAAGCCCCAACAATTAACAAGGTTCCAAGCCAACCCGACACCCCGACAAGATAACCCAAGGTTAAATTAAGGAACACGAAACTAGTGCCACAACTAGTCATCACAATGTAAAGGACCTGAAGGTGTTTTGGTCGCGGGCTACATCGTGGGTGCGATTGGCCAATTGCAGGCGCGATCACACGGATCGTGGCCTCCTTCGCGGGCCATGCAATTCTCTTAGGCCTATAGACCTGAAGGCCCTATCTAGTCACGACCCATCGCGGGTGTGACCTAGCAACCTCGTGGGCACGATAGGAATGGTTGCGGGCGCGACCTTACAAACAGAAGAAAAATTTGCCAAAGGTACTACGTATGAAGTAAAGTCCCCAATGACAATTAAGTAACTCAAAGATGCCAACACCAACAGATGCAAAACCCAAAACCAAGGAGTATAAAAGGACACCCGGGCCGCTATACTTACCTTCCCGTTTGCTTGGCTACATACTTCTAAACAATATAGGTTCAACTTTGATTGCATACTCTTCCTTTTGAGAAATGTTCTTTAAGTTTTCTGCTTCTCTTTCTCCCCCCGAATTATTTAATTTATATCACCGGCATGGTTTGTTATGAAATCTGTCACATTTTATTGGTTTAATAATGACATGCTTAGTCTTGGTGCGTAAGTATTGCAATCTGTTTATTTTTTAATACTTTGTCCTGGAATTGAGGTACCATTTGTTGAAACCAACTATTTCTTGTCTTGCAGAATTCAGGTTTCTGAAAAGATTGATACTTGTCCATGGGCGGTACTCGTACAATCGTACAGCATTTATGTCCCAATATTCGTTTTATAAATCCCTACTGATATGTTTCATTCAAATCTTGTGAGTTATCATGGAATATGTTCTTTTTGTTATGCTTTCTCTCCATTCTGGTTGTTTTCCTTAAAAAGTTGCAATATTCTATATGCACTGCAACTTTGATTATTAAAATTTTCTGACGTACTAACACTAGACCACATTCAGTTTCTCTTTTATTTCAGGTGTCTCTGGTACCAGTCTTCTCGATGCTGTCAGTTTGATGGCTTATAATGTGTTCTACACTAGTATCCCTGTTTTAGTCAGTCTCGTGGACAAAGATCTTAGTGAAGGAACTGTGATGCAGCACCCACAGATTTTATATTACTGCCAAGCAGGGAGGTTAGGATTTTTCTGCACTTTGTTCACATAATTCTTTTTCTTGCATGATTATAACGAAAGAGATCATATAATTTGATTTCACTTATAGGAAATATTGCATTTCTTGGAACTTGGGAACTGGGTTCTTGCTGTCTGTTGCTCAGATTCTTGCTGTTGTCGTTAAACTAAATTTGGATCAATCTTGAAACAGGCTTCTTAATCCTCGCACATTTGCTGGATGGTTTGGGCGGTCTCTGTTCCATGTGAGTACTGTTCATTTCTTCCTATTTCATCAATCTATTTCTATTGCTGTGTGAATTTCCATTTTGAAGTTAAAAACATGTTAAACTGATTGAAACTCATCAAAATCAATCATTTTTTGTAATACGCATGTTATATCTTAAGTTCTGATAAATCTCAAGCTTCCATAATAGGGTTGGATTCCTGGAATAGGTGATGTTTTATTGAAATCTTAGTTGCTCGAAGTGGGGATGGGGGTACATAGAAGAGTCTAAGGTTGAGAGTACCGGTGGAAGTGTTTACCTATTTACATATAAAATATTATGTTGTAAGTCTATTTTTTTTGGTGCATAGTTGTAATGTATATATTAAATATGAACAAATAACAGAGTTTGGTGTCAAGTGCACATTCTTTTTGTCTAATATCAATAAATATTTGTTAATACGAATTACAAGAATAAGTTTGAGTTATTTTTTTCTCTATAATCTGATGGTTGTTGTAGATTTTCTTTTGCTTGGTAGGTTTTCTTTTGTTTCTTTGGGATTCATATGTTTGATAGGTTCCATCCCAATGAGGAAGGTAGTTCTTTCTTGATGGGAACACAACTTTAACTTGATTCTTGCTCTGCAATGTGGAATTGTAATTCTGGAGTGGATTCATCACCTTCAAGGTTCCTGCATCTAAGGTCGAATTTGCCTCAAGTTGTCATGTGCCACTTGCATGCGACTTCTTCAGTATATTAGGACACCCTAATATCATAATCATGTAAGAACAAACACAAAGAAGACTGTCACAGATGCCCAAAATGAAGCAAGTAATAGATAGATACCAGTGTTCTGAGTTGCTTTGTAAACATTTTCTGTTTAATAATTGCTTGTTTGATTGATGTTTTAACCTTTTATGACAATGTGCATTCTACTATAAATTTGTTTATTCTCCTGGTGGACCTTAACTAATTATACTATTGTCATTCTACCTCTTTCGCATGTTTTTTACTGTACTGCTCTGTGCATTTTTTTCCTAGTTTGTCCCTCAAACAATTGAATTTCCCATTTCCCCTGTATATTTCCATTTTCAATCAGTTCGTCCAAATCTATATTACCGTTTTACATTTACATTCAATCTTTCTTACCTTACTTTTTTTTTTTTTTTTTTTGACAAGTAAAATTCATTCCAATCCAAAAAACACCCCTAAGGGAATGCAACTTGTACATAAGACATATAAAAAGAAAATCACGTAAACCTCCTGTAAAAATCTATAGGGATGTACAATTCCCCTAAAAAGTCAACAAAATCATGTATAGGAAAAGGAAACCTCTCCTTCAACCAAAAGAGAGGGATAATAAGAAGGCACCTTTCAAGCACACTATTTCGCACAACTATCAAAACATCTTTGATTTGTCTCATGCCATAAGCACCAAAAGATACACAAAGGAGTCGACGTCCACGCCTTTCTAAAGGGGCTTTTAGGACAGCCTCTATTCCAAGATGCAAGCAAGTCCTGCATCAAACAAGGCATCAACCATTCTACACAAACATCGAAAGTGCCAACAATGAAAAAGAGGGTGATTAATACTCTCCCCCTCCTTGCATATGGATCGCCAATCCGACAAAAACTTACCCTTACATCTCAATTATTAGTCGTCAAAATAGTTTTTCGTGCAGCCGTCCAAGTAAAGAAGGATACCTTGAGCTGAACTTTTGGGCACCAAATTCCTCTCGAAGGGAAGTCAAATTCACCACCCCCTAAAAGCAACTTGTAAAAGGAAGACACCGAAAAAATGGCATTAATGGAACCCCTCCACACCAAGGTGCCTTCCAACAACCCATAAAAGCCGGTAGATGTCAGATAGCTTGATATACATTGTTTGATATTCTATCCCCGTTAGTTTCTTCCTCACCTTCTGTTTGGTTCTATGTTTGTCTCTCCACGTGCAAGGCGGCGTTGCATGTGAGGAAGGGTGTTAAATAGCTTGATATACATTATTGGCCCCATTTCCTTATAGCTACGGCTTTTGAAAAAATTGGTAACTTAACAGTAGAGACTCAACGTCCCAATCCTTAAAAGGCCTTTGGAATGCAGAGCTTCGTGCACCTGCCCCAAAAGAGGACTACCAATATTGCCATCAAGCCCTCTAAATTTGTTAACCATAGCATAAAGATCTGGGAAGACCTGCCTTAGATCTCTACCCACTCTACGGATCATGCCAAAAGTGAACCCTATTACCTCCACACACTTTATGTTGGAGATAAGATCATATTGTCAAAGATATCCAAAGATATAGAAGATATTAGAATATATGGAGATCCCATGATTTGTGCTTATTATGATTTTTTATATCTTTGATTTATTTCAATTCCTTAATTGAAGTGATTTGATTGTAACTCTTACTCTATATATATGGTGTATCATGTAAACAAAAGTATCAAGTTGAGTGAATGAAAGATGTAGCCCTTTATGGCTTTGTGTGTGTGGATGTAGGCCAATATTGGCTGAACCACGTTAACCTTTTGTGTTCTTGCTTTTCTCTTTTCTGTCTCTTCTCTATTATCTCTCTATATTCAACCTTATTGCCTTACTACAAAATTCAACTCTTTAAAGCCAGTGCAGAAAAGATTCATCCCAAACTCTCACAATGCTCTTCCAAATCCCCACTTCATTAGTCTCATGAACATGGGCCGTGGACCAATCTCCCTAATCATGTCCATATTTTCCATCGAAACCATTCGCCATGAAGTCTCTCTCCCAAGCAAAGTGCCATAACCATTTCCTAAGCAAAGCCTTATAAAAAACATCCGGTTTTTACATGCTCAGACCCCCTTTTCCGTAGCAAGCACACCTCCTTCCAATCAACCAAGTGATATTTCTCATCAACTTCTCCAACTTCTAGGCAACTGAGGCTAGGGATAGTACAGATGGAAATGAAATAGGTAGGCAAGTTAGTCACAGTGGTCTTGATCAAAGTAAACCTCCCTCCTGTTGAGAAATATTGCTTTTTCCACGAAGCTAATCTCTTCTCAAATTTTTCCACCCATTGAGTCCCACATGGCTCTGTTTTTGTAAGGCGACCTCAAAGGAAGGCCCAAGTATGTAGCTAGCAAAAGTCCCACCTTGCAACCTAGATTAGCAGCCAAAAGCTTCACATCCCCCACCTTCCCCACTGGGATGATCTCACTTTTTGCTAGATTAATCCTCAAAACTGAAACTACCTTGAAACAAAGCAACACACCCTGCAAAATCTTCAGCTCTGTCTCATTTGCCCTGCAGTTATTTCATCATGCTGTTCTCCCATCTATCTATGTCCTTTCTAGTGTAGCTTTGAGGGAAAAGAAATAAGGTGGTTTTATTGTGGAAAATGTCGAGGGGACGTATTCTTAGATATGTAATGCTAGGTGTTTGAATTAAGTTACTGTCGTTAGTTGATGACCTAGACTTATAGGTTTTGGGATGAACCATACCAATTTAGAATATACCAGAAGACTTTAGTGAAATTAGGATTTGAAACGAAATAGTTAAATCGATAGTAATTCTCAATAGTAACTTATTATTATTATTATTATTATTTACCTTAAGTGGCAAATTGGGTCGCGTGTGTCCATACAGGAGGTTCATTTGGCCCTCCCAAACACAACCCCTTTATTGACAGGGTTGAAATGCTAAAACAAACACAACGTGGTTATTATACTCGTTATAGGACAAGGGTTGTGTAATTGTAGCCAGGCTATGGTGGGTTTTATAAAGGTTGACATTAAACACCAGCCACCTGACAACAATTAGAATAATATGACTGAAGCATAAGCCCATCAATATGAAAGAAACTTAATCCCATGGTAAATTGTATAATAAAATGAAAAAATATGAAGAAACTTGGATATCAGTATTGGAACTTGAGGATAAAAACAGTTTGATGTGGCACAAAGAAGGGGGGAAAACAAAGAATGAGAGAAAACAGGGAACCAATCCCAATCAATATCTCAATAATCAACACTCAAAATCATAGTCTAGTAACTAGTTTGATAAAACCATTACATACGGGGACTATTTATTATAGGCATCCTAGAAAATTCTGGTAAAAGCTTTACTAAAAATAAAACACTACAATAATTAAATACTAATAAAATTACAAAACATAATAAAATTCCATAAATATAAAACAATGCCAAAATAAATCTTTAAATTTTTATCCAACTCCTTTTGTATTTCACATCTCAGTTCCATGCTTGAACTTCTCCCATAAAAAATGAGTTGAAGTACGCTCACTTAAAATCAAATGGGTACAAAAATTGGGAAGAAAAACCGTAAATCTAATTAAGGACAAAGCAACCAACCTGAGAGCCAATCAAATGAATTTCATTAATCGTTACAGAGGGTGCAAAGCTCAAGCAAGAAGATTAAGGAAAAAAGTGCATTCCAAATGAAGAAGAAAGTGAAATCAAATATAATATTATTAAGAGTAAATTACATTGAGCTCCCCTGAGGTTTTTGACTACTCCATTAAAACTTCTGTGGTTCTAGAAATTACGTCACTTTTCTAAAGTTTCTAGCTGCATTACAATTTACGCCCTCCATTACTGAAGTGGGTCAACCAACAAATTGTGTTATATGTCAGAAATTAAAATTTTGAAAATACCAACTTTAACCATCACATCAACATTTTTGTAGAAAACACCATCTTTCTCTTCCTCTCTCCACACCAATACTAATTCAACACCGCCATTGATCCTGACTCCTGTTGGAATTAGGAAATAGCGATATTATAATAATGGTAGTGTTGGAATTAGGAAATAGTGATATTGTAATTATGGTAGTGTGTATAAATCTGTGATTGTGTTAATCACAGATTTAATACCTTTTTTATCTTCGTTTCCTATTTTGTAATATTGTTTCATGATAAATACAAGGCCCTACCTCATTATAGGTAAGCCAAAACAATTCTTTTCATCTTTTTTGGTATCAGAGCCAAAACACAGAAACCCTAGACCACCCCCTCCTCCCTGTTGGCCCCTGTTCTTCACTACCCA